ACAAGCTGATGGAAGGACATTTCAAAGCTACATGCAGGATAACTGTGAGGTTTGCAGTCAGATTCAACGTTTTGCCTACTTCACTGCAAGCAAAGAACTGTTCCGCATGCATACTCAAACAGTCACAAGGAGAGGTTTATTTAGGGAGAATTAATTTGGTGCTGAGCTGTCCAGGGTGCCTGTGGGGTGACACACCTGCATTTTACCCTGGTGACATTCCCAGTCTCAAAATCACCTTAGTGAGATGAGAAATTCGATCGTAGCCACAGATGAGAATAATGTGGAGAAGTTTCTTTGCAGTACTATTTTGGACCTGCACCGCAGCGGATGCTGAGGTAATCTATCAGTTTGTGAGTATCTACAAAATGCAACTCTCTAGATAACAGGTTTAAAGTAAAGATTTAATGCAGCCTCCATCTCCTGTGATGTTGCAGTGACAGTTTAAAACTCATTCTCTAAATCTCAGCAGACTTTATAGCCAGCAGTGGGCCCATAGAAAGTTTAATAGCATTACAACACATAAATCATCTTTTAAAGATGCTACTAGTAGCTCCAATATTAAATGCAGACAATCGCCTGTGTTATAAATAATTTATCAAACACCGTTTCAGATTAGCCTTCCATGCTGAGTTATTTATTTTAGCCTTTTCTGTACGATTCCTAAGGCACTTTTTGAAAGATCCATTACTGGTCAGTTTAATGAACTTGGGGGTCTGTTTTGTCCCCTCAAGCACTCGGGTACAGCTGTGGTGACCATTACGTGGCCGATGCAGACCTCTTTGTGCCTTTTACAAGTGCTGCCCATTTGTCATGTAGCGGTAAATGGAGCTGCACATTGGAGTCCAGGGACACATTGTGCTATGCAGTGATGGAGACAAACAGATAGCTCTATAAAGTGCGGCTTGTCACAGCTGACTCGCAGTACAGTACATCACTCTCAGTGTAATCTCATTTAAGAAGCAGGGCTGGCCCAGGGGACTGATATTCCCAGTTAGTTTGGTCTTTGTAACCATAAAGCAGGAAGTGTTCCTTTTATATTCTCTGAACTTTTAGGGAGTGTGCTTTTTTGCTTGGATTAATTATTACAGGAACTTCTCCCTGACACAGTGTGAAGAGCTGTCAGCAGGTTTCTTTGGACCTCCTCCTCCTCCTCCTTCTCCTGGCCATGGGCTTGGCACAAGGCAGTTGCTGCGTGAGATAAGCTGTGTTCTTAGGAGCCCTCTGGTTTGCCTTATTAACTAAGTTCCCAGTTATTAAGCTAATGGGTATGTGCCAGGCACCATTACAGGTGCTTTCTGTACTTGGTTCTGATTTTTCAGTGATCCTGTGACGTACTATATATATATTTAATATCATATTACAGAGGAGGAGGGTGAACTCAGAGTGGTAAAATGCCTTGTCCCAGATGGCACAGTCGTAAGTAGGAGACTTGGAATGCAAACTTAGCCTGCCTATCTACAGGCACAACTGACAGGTAACCTTGAACCTGGGTCATGGAAAGCGAAGCTGCCTTTGACCTTTAGGGGGCCAAGTCCTGCTGCTCTGGGTGCAGACTGAACCCCAGTTCCCTTGTGACTTGCAAAATCAATCCATGAGCAGCTGGTCAGGCAGGACGCTGGCCTGGCGGTGGGACAGGTCACATGTGGGCCTGACCAGCTGTGGTCATGAACTCTGCCACACTCCAGTCAGAGCATCTCGGTGACAGCTCTCCCCAGTCCTCGCAGTTCCTCCACACCCTCCAGAAAAGCCAAGTGTGAATTCCCCATGAGGAATGAACCCTATAAAGGAAGAAACAGTAGGTCAGAAATATGGTGTCATTAAGCACAAACACTGTTTAATTTTGAATTTCCAGTGGAGAAGAAGCAATGTGGATATACCTAGTCCCATGTGTGCATCTGTCTGGGATCATGTGTGGAACAGTGTTGTCAAATAATGAGCACGTGAGGTGGTGCTGAAGGATGATGGTCTGCAGGATGATTTGCTGAAGGCACACACTAGCAGCTGGGTGACTTTCCCCCTTTCTGTATTGTGAGGGGTATGGGTGGTGATGGTGTGGAATACGTGGGGTGAGCTCTCCGAGCATCGGGTGCATCGTGGAAATGCTGCTCGCGTGTGGCCAAGCGGCAGGAAGGTCCTTCCCGGGGATATTTGGGCAAGCCTTGTTGGAAACATGTTTTTCGTTCCCAGTGGAAGTGACCACTAGGGCAGCTGTTACTTGGCCGAATGAGACCTTGGCAATCAGCTTCCTTCCTTCCTCTCTTGTCTTGGGTCTGAGGACCTGTGGGTGTGGGGAGTGACATGGCCTGTTTCAGGGACCTGCTGCCCATCATTGTGCCTGGCCGGGGAACCTCCACAGCCCACCAGCTGCTGTGGCCTCCTAGCTATAGAACCTGACCTGGCACCTCTGCTGTGTACTGGCCATGTGACCCTCTGTCAGTGTCAGCCACAGAAGGTATTTGGGGGCGGGGAGTGCCTTCCCCCAGGATTGGCACTTTACACTCTGGGTGCCCATCCCACAGTATCGGCAGGCCTGTGTTTAGGAGAGGGCTGGGTGATGGCGGGGAGACATGGAGTTATCTTCCCTAGAATCAGTGGGGCGAAAAGATGTATGAAAGATGTAGATTCCCATTTCCTAAGTCTTTACACTTAAACAGCACATATGATAATTTGATTATAAACCAAATTATACATAATATATTTGAAAATTTGCACATTCTAAAGTTTTATCAGTTATCTGCTTACATTATAGGATGTTTGCAAAGTAGAGTGTAACTCATGTGATCTCATAGTGCCATCAGCTTTCTGGTGTGTGTGCTCAGTTGGATCAGTTGGTGCTAGAATTAGACATGCATCTTGAATATGATGTGTATGTCTTAGTGTCCTTTAAATCTTTCCCATTCTTATTGTCCCCCCCCCCCCACACACACAAAATAAAAACTTGGGAAATGTATTTTGTTTGAGAGGCAGAGAAGAAAAGTCAGCTATAGAAAGAGAGAGACTGAGGCCTAGAGACCTTGCATTGTCTGTGAAAGGGCAGCCCGAAGCTGAGAACTCAGTCCAGCTGCGTGATGAGCCACATCACCGAGTCATCTTCACTCTTGCCTACCAGGGTCTGCACCAGCAGGAAGCTGGAGCGAGGAGCTGCACTGGGGGTGAACCTAACCATTCTTAGTTATCTTAACTGGGGTTTTAGCTGCTCCAGTAAATACCAGACCCTGTTGGAGAAACTGGAAGCTGCAAGCCACCATGCTGCAGGTGTGATGTGGGTGTCATCAGGTGCAGTCAGCTGGTTCTGCAAGGCAGCAACAATGATGAGGAAAGAGGATCATGGCGACGAGGGTGAGGAGCTGGTAGACCAGGAGCCGGGACATAAGCAGGGTACTCACAGTGTGCACACACCTGCGCATACCCAGTGTCAGGTAGCAAGGGACACTCATTGGAATGGGGTCACATTTGATCTGGCAATGGTTGGATTTTGGCTTTTTGATGTGGTGGCTTCAGCAGCTGCCATCTCGCCCAAGACGTTTTCTTTGCCACCTGCCCTGATTTCTGGCAAGGCTTTTTGGTTCCAACAGCTGAGAATCCCAGAAGAGAATTTCTAATCAGAAGCCCCTGTTTGAATGCATTCTTCTGAGACTGGCTTTACTAGCCTCACACTGGTACCACTCAGGAAGGGGGGGGGGGCGGGTGTAAAGCTGGAGGTTAAAGATCAAAATAACCAGGAGCCCCTGCTGCTGGTTTGTCGGGATCCTACTTCCACAGCGCCTCGTCCCTCCTCCTCTGAGTCTGTAGAGGGCGCTCATGCTCTTGGAATCCCTGCCTGGCTGGGGGCAGGCAGAGAAGCCAGAGCATGGAGGGGGCCCAGACCTGCCTGCAGCTTTAGGCAGGGGACTGGCGTTGGAGGACCTCAGCTGCGACGCTGGGTGGGGCGTTGTCTTCCTCTGACGGTATGAGCCAACATCCCGTGGGCTGAGCTGGCAATCCCCAGGTCCCTGAGGATTGAGGGTGCTGTGAACAGATTAGTCCTTCCTCTGGGAGGTTGGTTCATAAAGAGCTTGAACTTGGTGTCCTCCAGGTGCTTCCAATCTAGTGTTTGGTCCTGCTGCTGCTTCCTGAGTACCTGCCGCACAGCATATCTGCAGCCCTCCTGTTGAGGCTTCACTCACCCGGCCATGGTTGGTGCGGTTCCTTCTGCTGTGTTGGTAGTTTGTATCCCTGTGCCATCACTGTACTCACCCCCTCCCCCCACCTGAGTGTCAGGCCTCTGGGTCCCTTTGCTGTCTGCAGACCTGGATTGGTGCAGAGCCCGCCTTGGTCACCAGTCTCTCTTCAGACCTAGACACACTGCCTGGGGCCCAGCAAAGGGACGTAGGTGGAGCTGCCTGGAGAGGCGTTGGTGGAGAGATGGACTTCAGAGATGAGGCTCATTCTGCTCTGGCTGCTGCTGTGGTGTGTTCTCACACTGCATGCTCATGTTCTCTGTTTGGTCCCAAGGAATTGTTTGAGCCAGTGTTGGATATTTTGAGTCAGGATTTAGCACACTAAGCCCAGGGCTAGATGCAGCCCACCACCTATTTCTGTGGTATGGTTTTACTGGAACACAGTCTATGTATGTGTGGGCTGTGCATGGCTCTTCTGTGCTGCCCTGATGAGTACCTGTGATGGAGACTTGATGTCCATAAAGGGCCTGCTTACTGGCCCTTTCCAAGTGTGCAGACCCCTGTTTTAGGTGGCTCAGGCCTCTGCTCCATGGTGACTGTCACCTACCTACAAAGCAGTGTGCTGAGCGGGGAGTGCCTGGGGAAGGGGTTTGGAGGGCCCAGGGCTATGATGTGTAGTGGCTGAAAGCCTGGGGGCAGGCCCCCGGGGCTCCTGGGGCTCACCCACGCACAGCCCTGGCAGGAGAGCAGTGCTGACTGCCAAAATCACCTGGGCACCCCAGGGGCCTCCAAGCAGCCCTCCCATCTGGTGCTGGGCTCACTGTTGTTGCTCTCTCACAGGAGGAGGAAGCCAAGAAGCTGGTGAGCGAGGCCATCGCAGCGGGCATTTTCAATGACCTGGGCTCTGGCAGCAACATTGACCTCTGTGTCATCAGCAAGAGCAAGCTAGATTTCCTCCGCCCGTACACAGTGCCCAACAAGAAGGGGACCAGGTGAGCGAAGGTGGTTGTGGCTTGTGGGCCACCCTGAGATCTCTGTAGCAGCTGCGTGGGTGTCTGCAGCTGTTTCCCACGCTGAGTGAACCCGGGGTTCTCGGGTCATGCACAGAGCCACCAGAGTCCCTGTTGGCTGCTGTTGGCGAGATGCTGTGATTAGTAAGATGTTGGTGGGAGAAGTGAAGTGGGCTGGAATGAGCCTTGGCTGGTGTGGGGTTAGAGGGTTAAGTGTTTGGATTCTGTGAGCGGGGTGTGCTGTCCAGAGCAGCTGGCCTCGGAGCGGCAGGGCAGTTGTGAAACCTGTGGTATTTGCTTGCCAGAAGTCATACCACTTAGTCTGCTGTCTGCTGCAGGGCCATGGTGGCTCCTCACCTTTCCCCGGAGCAGCTCAGGCAGCAGCTCCCCGTGCTGTACCTCCAGCCACTTTCCTCTGAGCCCTGGTAGCAAGGCCAGAGGCCGTCAGGCACCTTGCCTACTGGAATGCACGCTTGAGCACCCACCACGCAAATTGCGGTCCAGTCAGAACTCAGTCTCGTGAACAGAGCATCCTTTGCTAGCAGTGTATACTTGGTACACGCTGTGTCCGGCTGATGGGATAGGGCAGCCTAGCAGAGAGCTCTTGTCCAGGGCTTGGGGAGTGCCAGTGGCCCCTGGGTGACCCATCTGCCTTCCTGTCTTTAATGTGCTGCAGCTAGACCATTAAAGTGCAAGGGATTCCTGGGGCTTGGGGCAGGCAGCATGTTCATGGGGCACCAGTGGCAGGATAGGGGGAGATAGCTGTGCCCTCTCCAGGGTGACCAGTGTCTGGATGAGGATTCCAAAAGCGCAGTCTGAGGGGCTGGGAAGCAGCATAGTGGTTGCCTGGGGAGCCCGTGCTCAGCGTGGAGTCTTACAGAGAGCAGCAGCTGGTGCTTCCTGCCCCTGGGGCTCCTTTCCCCACTGCCCTGGAGAGCAGGATGTGTGTAGCCCTCCGCCAAGAGGCTCTCCCAACTGGGGCAAAGCCAGGGGTAAGGCCTTGGCAGGTGTCCCATGGACAGCAATGCTCCCTGACAGCAAGGTGCTACTCACACGTGTCAGCCAGGGCCCCACCCCATGGCATGAGCAGTATCTTCACACCTAGGGTGGACATACTGTCAGGTGGCTGCTGCAGTGTGAGGCATGCGGAAGAGGGCAGGGGGAGTGCTGCCTGCTTCCTTTCTGAGCCTACATGCCCATCTGAGAGGATAGGAGTTCCAGCATACGGGCACGGCACAGCCAGTGGCCTCACAGTCCCAAGTCCCAGTGTGAGAATTAAGTTGGGAAGTTTTTATTCAGTGCCTTTTGCTCAGAGAAGCCTGGCTGGCAGTACATTGTCCCAAGGAGGGTGCCAGGTGTAACCAGGGCCTGCAGGGGCTGAGATCTCACCTTTGCTGGAGAGTGATCTAAAGTGGCAAGCTCTGAGTCTGACTCAGGTCATTGTACTGTCTGTGTGACCTGGTGTGATGTTGTAAGTGAAGCCATCTGTTGCTGAAGAGGATGGCAGCAGTTGAATGACCGAGTCTTAATGGGCACTTGGAAACAGAGGACCAAGCAGTCTCCTGCCCATATCAGGGACAGGGAGGTGTGAAAGGACCACAGTGCCACAAAGTGCCAGATGTTCTGGCTCATCGCCTGTTCATAGGGTCAAGATGCTCACTGTGGGGTCCCACTTTGCAGCACTGAAGTGCTCCCACGCTTTGTAGCTGGAGAGGTGGCATCCCTCCGGGCCACAGAGCTTGAGCCTGGAGAGTGCTTGCCCTGGCACTGGACCTGGCAGTAGGAAGTGAATCCTAACTGCACGCTTCTGTTTGCCTCTCACTAGGTTTGGCCGGTATAGGTGTGAGAAGGGGACCACGGCAGTCCTCACTGAAAAAATCACTCCATTGGAAATTGAGGTGCTGGAAGAGACAGTCCAAACCATGGATACTTCCTGAAGGGCGCAGGAGTGGCGGGTTACTGCTGGAGGAGCTGGAGGGCATTGGCAGTCCCCGAGGAAACACTTGCTTGACTGAGGTTTGCTGAATGAAACCCAATAAAACATGGAGACCTGATTGGGTGGCTGAGGCCTGAGACTGTGTGGTTTGGGGGGGACTGTGGCCTCCCTTTGAACAGTGGCAACCATCTGCAGCAGAACTGACCTTGCCTGTGGCAGGGCCCACGTGGGGTTTTCCTTCAGAAAGGCTTGGGGCAGCCCTGAGCTGCTGGTGTCCTTTAGCTCTTCAGGATGGTGCGTGCAGCACAGCAGCCTTGGACCCCAGGGGCGGGAGATGAGCAGCTGCAAAGGCGGGGCTCACATGGACTGGTTCTGAATGCTGAGACCAGGTGGGTGGGCAGTTGGCCAGAACTCAGGAATGTCTTGGGTCTTCTGGGTTTTTAGTAACTTAGACATGGTCTCTGACCCAACACACTCAGGTTGCTGCTGACGGCTGCAACTGTTATGCTCTAGAGGGGTCTCCCATTTTCTTGGCCTGGAGAGGGGGTGACAGCCTGCCTGTGTGTCTGGGCAGACCCTTGAACACTGCATGCAGGGTGTTTGCAAAATCTGTCTGGAATTAGAAGAACTCTTGATGGTGGTGAGTGCTGGGTAGGAGACAGGACTTAATCCTCCCCTGGAGAGAACGTTCCAGAGTGAGCCCACTCACTGGAAATGGCAGGAGTGGGCTGGGGAGAGCTCCAAGGTTAGTAGGGCATTAGCTTGGCTGATGTGTACCACTAGTAATTTGAGGAGCTTAAAAAAATTCCAGGATTACTCAATGTCTGGGGGGCCCTGGCAGGGGTGTTTATACAGGCTTCCTGAGAAACTAGACAGCTCAGTCCTTTAGTCTAGAATCCGCTGGCTGAGGGAGAACAAGGAGAGGGTCTTACAATCAGCACAAACCACACTCTTCTGCACAAGTAACTCCTCTCACCACGTTTTATTTCAAACCTGGAGAACAAGTACAGAGCAAAGGCCACAGCTGGAGACAATCTCTCCCATCTGTCGGTGTTCCCGCGTGGAGCCTCCGCAGGCAGCACCTGACCCAGACCCCGACGGTGGGTCTCGTCTGAAGGGCTCAACTGTTGCACATCCAGTGACAACAGCCTAGAACATGTGAGGACTAATTTGAATACAAAAACAAAATGCAGACTGTTTCCTCCAGAGCTGGAGTTTCCCTTAAATTCACATTTATAAATTAATCTTCACAGTTAATCCTCTTTGGGAACAAGAAATAAGTGAACATATTTCCAGTTTCCTACACATAATACAGTTGTACTTTAATTCTTGACATACGTGGTCCGTAGACGGTTCTGGGAAGGAGTGAAGGGCCACTGTGAATCCTGTATAGCATGTTAGCTAACCTGCATATCTTATCTCAAATGCTGTCAGCAACTCTGAAGGTAGATTGTATTAGTCCCATTTTACAGATGAGGAAACCAGGGCTCAGACAGACTAAGACGTTTGCCTCAGGTCACACTAGGAATTTACAGAACCAGCATTTGTAAAAGATAGGCTGAGGGCCAAGCCCTTTGTGTTTTTGTATTTTTAAAGCCTGTGTTGCCTTCCCGTGGAAGACACTTAACACTGATCATGAAATGAACCGCCAGCGTTCCAGGGGACAGAGCTTGTGACCCGGCAGGGGTTCTGGAGGGGCTGCGCCAGGTGTTCAGGTGCCACCTGCCATGCAAAGCTCTGTGCTGGTGCCAGGTTCTCATCGTCATTCATCAAGTAAGAAGTATAGGGAAAATATTAGCCAAATCTCTACTCTACTCAAAAGTTATTTCCACTTTATCCCTTTATAACTGAGTAAGTTAGACACACAGCTTGATTGTTTGGAAAGGCACTAAGAACTAAACCAAACTCGCTAGTAACCATTTTCAAAGGCTAACTACAAACCACCCAGTCCCCAGCAAGTCTTCCGTGAGTGTGCACCTGTTCCGGCCGCTGGAGGGATTCCTAGATTCACATTACAACCCCGAGGTGAGGGGCTGCTGTGGCTCGCTAGCCCCCTGCCCTTGGCAGCAGCCCAGCTGAGATTGTCCACAACAGGACAGAGGAAGGACTTTGGCTATGACTGGTGCCCCTGCCCCCAGCATTTGCTGCCAAGTGCGCCAGCCCTCGGGGACCTGCTGCATTCTGTTCTCAGCTGTTCTGGGAGAGAGGTCTCAAGTAAGGCAGAGTGATGGCGTTGGCTTCGGATGACGCAGGAGCGTCCATGCTCAGGTGCTGGATGTCCACACGTGCATCTGTTTGGCAACCTGATGCACGTAGCCGATGTCGGGTCTTTGGTCGGGGTCAGGGTAAATGCACATGCTGACCAGCTCGCGTAACTGCAAGGGATAGAGCAGCTGGTGAGCCTGGGAGAGCAGCCAACCAAGGCACTGAGCTAGGCATTGGTGTCCACATTGGCACGACTGAGCCCCAGGGATGACCAGGACCACTCCCCGGCCGTCAGGCCCCAGGGGACACATCTGAAGACCCTGACAGTGGTTCTCTAATTCTGAATACATTTCCACTGCATGGTGGGTGGGTGTGGTGTGATGTGAGTGTACACGCATCTGCTGTCACTCATGTAGATGCCCAAACCAGAGGACACAACTCGAGGAAAGGGCTTATTGATTGTAATAAATGTATTACCATGCAGCAGGGCTGCAGTCTGCCCACCCCTGGCCTCTTTATTGTGCTCATGAAAGCCAGAGCTTTTAATTACACACACACACACACACACACACACACACCCGAAGGCGAGCAGGGGGAGGGGCCTGGCACCTCTGATCAGCTCCCATTCTTCTGATAGTCTGAGTGCCAATTATTTCAATGGTAATTAAAATCATGACCTTAGAAAGCCTACATCTTAACTTGCGGTGCTCAGTGCACTGGTGGTTTTCATTTAAATGCCCGCTGCTGGCGGGGCTCTGGGCAGCAAGACAACAGAGCTGCCCAGACACAGCCAGGGGTGTTCATCAGAAACCCCTCAGGCAGGTGCAGGGCTGCTGGGTTGTCCTGCATGGCCACTTAGGTAGGTCACCTGGGCAACTCCCCCAAACTGTGCCAGTTTCTTTACCAGCAAGGTAGGCGACAGGAAAATTGACCACAGTAAATGGGGAACTGCTATTGTGAAGCCACGGCCCGGAATTCAGTGGGGGGAGTGCCTCGGACTCACCCTACTGCCACTGACCTTGAACAGAAATGGCAATGGATGATGCCACACGGCAGCCATTTCCTCTGAGCCAGGCCGAGGCTGCTCGCAGAGGTGCTGGCAGGTGAGCCTAGCACTGGGCTGGGCATGCCATGTCCCTCCCCTTAGTCCTTACCCTGATCCTATAGGGAAGATTCTAGTAAATCTGCTTCAGGAGGAGGGGACACAGTGGTCTGCCTGTAGTGGCTTCCTTTTGGGGAGTGCACTGGCAGCCAAGAAGCTGCCTCTCCTGCCTGTCCTCTGGGCACGGGTGGAGCACGCCCGAGGGCTTCACAGTTAAGATCTCTGAGTAGGGCAGGTAATGCCACCCTGCTGCTGCCTCTGGGGGCCCCTCCTCTGCCCAGCCAGCTCGGGACCTCATCCCCGGTTCGCTGCAGGTTTGGCTCACCTTCTCCGAGTAGTGCTCGCCGGGCAGGGGCGGGTAGTCACACTGCTCGATCTTCTGGCACAGCGAGAAGAGGTTCATCTTGTCACCATAGAAGGGACTCTGGAGGGCGGCCATCTGCAAGGGCACAGGACAAGTGTGACGGCCCTGACTCCTTCCTTGGCCTCTGCTGCAGCCACGATGTCATCCTCGAGGGTGAAATGAGGTTGGACACGTGAGCCACAGTGCAGCTTCAGGGGCTGTGGGGAAGGGAAGCTGAATTCAGAGTCAGCTGCTCATCCAGCCAGCACCCCTGGACTGGTTCTGCTGTAAGTGTGGAGTGCTGCCTGCTGGGAACCTACTTGGGCAAGTTGTCTTGGTGACCTTAGAAGGCAATTCTGAAGACACTGACCAGAGCCCAGCTGTTTCGGGGTGCCCAGAGGAGGCGACAGCCAGAGGCTGGTTCTGAGGTGAGCAGAGGTAAGGCACCATGCTGTGGGCTGTGCTGTGGGTACTCTTGCCCACCTGTCACAGAGCTGCTGTCAGGAGGTAGGATGCCCGGGGAGGGTGAACGGCAAAATGGGCAGTTGCAGGAGAGCCACTAAGTCTGTGCTGGTCTCCCGACCCGTCTACAGGTGTGGTCAAAGATCAAACAATTTCTCCTGGGAGCAGTTTCTGTTCAGAACCCAAATGATGAAGGAAACAGTGGCCCTGTGACCCCTTTGAGCTCCAAAATTACCCCCAGAAAATTGAGGGAGGGGGCATGGTAAAGCTCTCATCCCTGGCTTTCTCTGGTCTTGCCAGCACCCTGCTCCCTCTCAGGGTCTTGAGCAGGGCCAGGACCAGCAGTGGCTTTCCAGTTCACGGGGCTGCTTTGCTGGGCAGCATCCTGCCTTCCCCACTGGCCGCCACCGGCCTTCCACCCTGACCAGGGCCGCGGGCTGCGAGCGGAGCCTGTGGGGCTGCTGGCGACCCGGGTGCTCCTGCAGCAACTAACAAGTGGGAGAGGAGCTGCCATCAGTTTTGGCATAGGCTGGCTCAGTAGAACTGCGGCTCCTGCCTTCTGCCTAGCATTATCAGGGCAGTGCTAGCCCATGCCCACTGCAGGAGGGCACAGAGGAGCTGGTGCGTGTGAGCAGCAGTTATATGTGGCCCTGCCCGTCAGGCCTCAGACACCCATCTTGTCACCCGGCTCTGCCAAGCATGTCTAGGTAAGGAGGGTGCCCTGGGGCAAGCTGTCTTCCCCGTGGTACACAGGGTGTACAACCTGCTCACCTGGGATGAGGGGCCTTGGAACACATACCTGCTTTGACCAGAATCCTCAAGCCACCTCCTGGACAGGCACAGTGGGCCCCTACCCCACTTTCTTGCTGGGTCTCCATCCTGGGTAGACCCTGTCAGGGCTGCCGACCAGCATGTGGAGAACTCTTGCTGAGTGAGGGCAGCCAGCGGGGTGACCAGCAATGGGGAGCAAGCAGCAGGGGAGCTGGGGTGGTACGGCTGGGGCCCACTCCATTCCCAGACCTGAGGGACCTCTGGGCACCAGCCTGTTGAATCAGTAATGCCCCCCACCCAGGACTGCCCCCAGCCAAATTTTCCTCACACTCTGACTCCTGTGCAGATGGGACAGGCGGTCAGCTCCAGCCCCCAGCCCTGGGAGACAGAGGGATAGCCCTGTGACCAGTGCCCTCCTGGGCCCCAGGCCAGTGCCGGTCCCTCAGATCAGTCTGGGGGAGGCAAGAGGGGTGCCCTGCTTATATATATATATACCTACCCTTCTCATGAGACAACACACTCCCCAGAAAGGCACCTCCAGCCATGACTGTGGGGTGTCTCCCTCCAATTACTGCAGCCCTGGGCTCAGATGTGTTCCCAGCCTCAATGGCTGGGAAAACAGCCACATCCCCTTCCCCTCCTGGGCTGTGGGAGCAAGGTGAAGGAGTGCCAGCCCGGAGCCCGTCATACCCTTGAGGGGCTGCCCAGGGCTATCAGGTAGGTCAGAGCCAGCCTGCAGAATTTGACTGATGTTACCAATTCCCCACGGTCCCTGCCCCCTCCCAACTCCAGAATGACACCAACTAATAAAGCAGAGGCAGGGCAGTGTTGGAGCTGGACGCTGGCTTCCCCCATAAGACATGGGCAGGTGCCCAAGACAGGGATGGGCGGGCCTGCCTGGGCTGGAAGCCAATGTGGCTGGCACTGCTGGTCCTCCTGGTACAGAAACCTTAGCACAGGTCTCCAAGTGGGGTGGCTATTCACAGGACCCTGGGCCAGGCCCAAGGGGAGACACAGGTCGGGTCACAGTTGCTGGTGTGTTTACATGCGGAAACCTGTGTGGCCCATGGAGGGCAAGCTCAGGAAGACACCAAACAGGAAGTTCAAGAACCATCTGGACCGGTGACAGTGAACAGAGGAACAGGGCCACAGGAGATTATTCTCTGCAGTGGGGGCTGAGCTGCACCCTAGCTTCCTGCTGGCCAAGGCAAGAAGGGGAAACGGACGCGGCAAGGGGCAGCTGCCCAGCCTGTGCTGGCTCAGCAGGCTTTCCTGCCTGTGGTCCTTGCTGAGGTCAGCTCTGCTTTATATCACTTTCCTCTGTTACAAAGACACTGGTATTCCCCCAGATTCTCATGGGCCACTGACCCCCAGCCCCACCTTCCTGTAGGAGTGGGCTATGCAGAGATGGGGTGGGGAGGACTCCACTCAGCCTCCCTCACTGGTGTTGGGGGGCTGTGGGTGGACGGGACTGCTCCGGACCAGGAGCCTGATGGGCTCTGCATGGGCATCTGCTCTGGAGGGAGTACAGGGTGGTGTCCAGCCTCTGTTGCCCCAGCTAGCAGCTCGTTAGATGCCCCTCTTTCCCCAGGCCCCATGCCCCTGAGGATTCTGGGAAAAGGATGCAGCCTGCTGCCCACCTCCCTGATGCACCCACAGACCCTTGAGATGACTCTGGGGGGCTGCCTCTAGAAGGGGTGCCAGCACCCATAGCACATGGGCCTTTAAAAGCAAGCATCTGTTCTTACAAGAGCAGGCTTCTGACTTAACAAGGAAGATGCCACAAAGCCTGCCACTTGCTGAGGGGATGGAAATGTGGCTGCATCGTTTCCATCTGCAATGCAGCAAGGGGAAACTCCAGTGCCAAAGATGCTGACTGCAGGAGCCACCGTGGTTCCACGGCTGCAGCACCTGGCAGCAGGCTCCTTGAGGGGCAACTTGCCCGGCCACCACCCGCGGAGGCATTGTGGTGGTCCCGAGTGTCACTGCTGTGGCTGCTTGTTACTCCAGCATTAAGAATGAGGTCCTCGGCTCACCCACTGCAAGCCAGACCTGAGGGCTCTAGGGAAAGCAGCACCATGACCAGGACTTCCAAGTCAGGAACCGAACTGTGCATGGTGGCTCTGGGGCCCCAGCAATGCAGGCCTCACCCCCCACATCAGAGATGGGGAGATGGGCTCGCTGGAGGTGGGGTGGTGGAGGATGGAATCTCAGCACAGTTGCAGCCCTGGCAGAGGCGGTGCCCAGGGGCAGGTCCTGACCCTGGGTCTAAGTTGGCCACCACCCAGGGCAGGGGACACCTCTCAGCCAGGCCTGAGCTCCTCCGAGGCCCAGCACTCTACCTGGGGCCTGTTCCAGCAGTGAGTGGCCAATGATGGGCAAATGTTGAGCCTGTGGATACGGTCACCAAGGAAACCAAGGACCTCTGTGGGGACAAGTGGGCAGCCACCATCCATCCCAGCATACTCTGGCCAGCTTGGCATGGGGCCAGAGGGGTAGAAGGCAGGTGTCACCCCTTCCAGCAAGCCTCGCCTGATTGGGTGCCCTAGGTCCTCTTCCCTCCCCCACTGAGCTGTGGTCCCAGGGACTCACCTCATACAGCAGGCAGCCCAGGGACCAGATGTCTGACTTGAAGTTGTAGCCGTTCTCATGGATCCTCTCTGGAGACATGTAGTACGGTGTGCCCACTGAAACACAGCCAGGGACAGGGGCTTAGCTCTGGTCCAGGCCCTGGATGGGGTACAGGCATGCAGGGGAGGGCTGCCTGTGTCTGCAGTGCCTGGGTTGGGGAGCATCTGGCCCAGCAGGTGTGAGGCTGGTTAAGATGCCCATGTTCCATGCCTAGGTTTGAGTTCCAGCACCAGCATGTTTCCAGCTTCCTGCTCCTGCACACCCCGGGAGGAAGCAGTGGTGGCCCAGAGTTGGGGCCCTGCCACCTGGATTGAATCCCTGGCTCCTGGCTTCATGGTGGCCCAGCCCTAGCTGTCACAGTAGTGGGAGCTCTTTGCCTCAAACAAGAACAGGAAAAGAGGTGAATAAAAGGCCATGGTCCTGGGGACCCATCCCCCCCCACACACACCAGAATGGGTGTGGGCCACTGTTTCTGCCAACTGCCCGGTGGGGTGAGAAGCAACTGATCAGATGTCCTTGAAGGTGACAGGACCATGCAGGAGTCCAGACCAGGCTCCTCACGGAGGGAAGAAAGCAGCCCACTGATGCTGACCAAGCTCATTTCTCCAATGTCTCATTCGCTTTCCACTGGTCCTATTTCAGAGATGGAGAAGCTGAGGCTCAGAATGGCAGTGGCTCCTGTGAAAGCAACAGGAATGGACTACTCCATCTCAGACTGGAAACTGGCCAACTGCATCAGCATAGCCAGAACTCTGCAAAGAAGGGAGGTGTCCCCAAGAGGGAGGAAGCGCCCCACTGCCACATGCACCCCAAGCTGCAGTGCAGCAGCTGGTGAGGCGGGAGGTGGGGCTAGCATGGAGCCTGGGAATCTGCATTCATTGCCTACTGTCAGTCCTTCCGGATGGAGAATAGCTGTCCTGGGGGAGGGGTCTGCAGGACCCAGCTTTGCAAGCCGCTGTGGGGAGAACAATCCTGCCAGCCTGGGGACACAGTGTCATGTAACAGAGGTGGCTGCTTCTGTGAGCAGGGAGCTGGAGTCCAGCTTGCCTGGGCCGAGTCTCTGCTGTATCCCACAATGCCAGGTAGCCAGCGTTACCTGCACGAGCAGGACCTGGGGTGAGGAGAGGCTGCGCCGTGCTCCGGACACAGAGCAAGGGCTCCCAAGGGCCACAGACCTCAAAGCCAGACACAGGGTGGGGAGCAGTCGGTGTTGCAAAGAATAACACTGAAGAGACCCCAGGCGCTCCCACTGCCCAGGAGCACTGCCATTTTCTAAGGAAAAGCCAGCTTCACACCAGTGGAGACTGCAGGGACAGCATCAAGGTGGGGCCTTTGAACACTGGGTGGCTTTTGGTGCACCCTCTTCTACTCCCGTCTTTAAGGATCTTACTGGGGATGGATGGAAAACGCCATCTCACCCGAGTGATGTGCAAGAAACCCACTTTCTCACTGTCACCACACGGCCTGGGGCCGAGTTCACGCTTCCTTCTTGCAGCCCCAGTCATGGCTTACTTAACTGTTGCCTGCCCCACAGGACTGAGCATGGAGCCACAGGGTCAACTCCATGATCATGGCTTTACCAAACAAGGACAATAGCCCTCACCAACATGGTGAGAAACATATTATCCTGACACAGATCTGGGGCTCCCGTCAGAATGTTGACTGCTCTGTGGCTGGTGGTGCAGGGAGAACAAAGGACATGGTGGTCTCCAGGGCACAATGTGATTCGTGAACAAACCCCAGAATGACAGCCAAACCCATTTGCTTGCAGTGGGACCTTGGGGCCTGTGCAGGTGCTGGGGATGGGGTGTCGCTGGGTGGGGACATCCCCATGAGAGAGGGACCGAGCTCAGAGGTCCTGCTCCCAGGTGGTGTTGCACCTGTGAGGCCCCTGTCTAGTCCCCTTCTGGCTGACTGACAGCCCTGACCCCTCGGGCTTGTCCTCTGCTCATTTCTGGGTTGCTTGGCTCTGGGCAGACAGCATGACTGCCCGGCACTGAGACTCTGGCCTGGAGGCTGTGGTGGCCAGGCCCCCGCCCAGCCCAGCCTGCTCTCTGCCATGCCTCTGTACTCTGTACCTCTTGCCAGGTAACTGCTGTCCTCTGTCCTAGCACCACTCCCTCCTACGGGCAGGGCCCTGGGTCACTGCCCTTAGCCCAGCTTATGGTAGAAGCCTGGGGGACATGCGGGTTGGGAGAAGACGAGGGTCCAGGGCCTTGATCAGTTCCCCTTAACCTTTCACCTCTGCTTTTACCCATTGCCATTGGCGAAAGGGAGTCAGGCAAACACCCAGATACAATCTGGAACTTTCTCCTAAGATGCCACAGTGGCACATGCTGTTCGCCCATTGTTCCTCCATCTGTCTGGCCGTTTACCCATTCATCATTGTCCACTGACTGTGTGTTCATCCGCCCATCCGTCACCTGTTCATCCACCCACCCATGTGTCCATCACCGTTCATCATCTGCCCACTCACTTATTCCACCCATCCATTCATCCATCCATCCACCTACTCAGCCATTCATTACTGTGTCCTATCCTCCCTCCTTCCATTTCCCCCCAATGGCAGCGGAGCCTTCAGCCTGTGCCACAGGCTTGCAGGAGTGGCCTCACCAGGACGTATGAGTTGCCTGTTCCTGAAAGTGTCCCCAGGAGCCAGCTGCCCGCATGTATCCAGGAGAGCTTGGACCAATCAGTGGTGGTAGCCGAGCCCCACAGTATTTGTTTAACATCTAGATTCCTGGCCCAGCCTTGGATTTGAGAGGGGTCAGAAGCTCCGGGTGCAGGACTCGGACACCTGCAGCCCTCCCCGGCTCCTGGGGACTTGCAATGGTGCTTGCACCAGCCTTGCCCTCTCACCTCTTCTTCCTGCAGATCCTCTGTAAGCATCTGGGAGCAAATCAGCACACCTGGGAAGGGTTAGCTGAGAAGGTTTGGCCCCTGCTAGCCTGGGTGCAAATTCTGGGGATGGGCTGCTCCCTCTCAGCCTGTGATCACAAAGCTAGGGTCCTCTGCCTCGCTGGGACACATGGATTCAGAGTGGGGTGGGTGTAGCCCCTCTTCCCCGACTCACCAGCTCCCCACAGAGGCATGGAACGCTGGCAGCAGCCACTTGGCGGGTGCAGAGCGGGGCATGCACTCATGTGGGTGTTGGAGATAAAAGGACACTTCAAACACTCCCTGAATATGCAGAGACCCCTGGAGATGTATTCTGCAACCCTCGAGTTGAGGGGGCAGTGACTGGGCAGGGTGGGGGCTCCCAGTGGCTTAGGTCCTTCCTGGCAGTGGGACCAGGGGACCAGGGGACCAGGGCTGTGCATCCAGGAGGGGGGCCCAGTGACGCTGACCTTCCTGCAGTCTTTGCCTACAGCTCCCGATCTCAAGCCTGGCAGGTATCAGAGGGGCACACAGACCTCAAAGCAGGAAGCTGATGAAAGAGCCCACATCTGAACTGTGTACTTCATCAAAACAAACCTGGCTGGGTCTGAACTGCACCTGATTGGGAAAGAGATGGGCTTTGCAGAAGGAAGGAGCTGGCATTCAGTTGCAGGGCAGGGTGGGGTCTTATGGCCGGCAGCTCCCCCGCTGACTCTGGTCCCAACTGCTGGACAACTTCTGGGGGCTGGGCAGGCACAGGTGTGGAGGGCTTAGGTGTGGGAGCAGGACCCACAGTCTCTCACTTCAGCCCCTCCCTCTCCCAGCCTCCTGCCCCAGATCCCCCCGCTCACAGCCTGTCGCTCTTCCCTGGAAGTGGGCAGTGCTGGCCAGACCAACATTTGGTTCATGGTGAAGGCTAAATGGGGCTTCTTCCAGTAGCCTTGGGCCTGGCACAGATCCTTGGTGGAGGAATGAAAGAAGAAATGAATGAGCTGAAGTTTGCTCCTCACTTGCTATCCGTTGAAGACCTCTTCCCCTCTGTGAGGTCAGCCCCTGAAAAGGCCATGGACACAGCAGGTGGGCTGCCCTGGGAGCCCATAGGTTCTGGGTCAAAGGAGTTGCACTTGCTATCCTGCACTGCTGGGGTGGGGCAGGGCCGGTGGAGGCTCCAGGCTGTGTCCTGCAGATGGGTGTCTCCCAAGGATGGCCAGGAGTGCCATCCATCCAGGAGGGCAAACAGCACCGGGCCTGAATAAGGCTGGGCCACAGCGCTGGCCCCTGCCAGGCACATGGTTCCCTCCTATGTGGGTCTGGGACCAGGCCCTGGGCTACTGCCTGTGTCCCTCTCTGGACACCCAAGCAGGCTCCCATCCTGGCCTAACATCTCACTGTGCCTCAGTTTTCCCAGCTGTGAAATGGCTACCATAAGCCTGCTGATGAGCTGGGTGACAGCAGGTCTTCCAAGCTTCAGTTCCTTCCTCTTCACTTTTTGGGGCACTCACTGAGGACACAGGACTGAAAGGGCAGCTCTTGGGGGGCTGGGGTGGTCCTCACACCTATCCCCATAGCCCTGGCAGTTATGGACTCCTCTACATGCAGCTAAGACTGGCAGAACCCTGCACCTGCCTGCATATAGTGGACCCACAGGAGACGGCCCTACCTGTCCCTGCACCAGGCCACCTGTGATGGACAGTGTTTGTCCCTCTGTCCAGCTAGGGTCCCATGGAGGCAGGGCAGGCTGTGTAACTCTATGCACCCAGCCCAGGGCCAGGGTGCAGTCCAGGGCAGCAGGCAGGAGGAACGCAGTGCCTTGTGGCCAGGCCAGGCCCACAGGGGTCTCCTTGAAAGGACCTGCTGCCCTCTCCTGCCGCGCGGCCTCCCCTCCTGCCTCTGATGCCAGCCCGGGGCTGCCCTGTCACTGCTGCCTGCGCCCCTGCTTTCCCAGCCCCACAATTTGTCTCACAGCTGCTGCCGTTGCTTGGAGCAAGACGCTTGTAGCTTGTGAGCTGTGTATAGGCAAATCTTTCATTTTTCTTTCATTACGCCGGCGTGTACTGTCACTTAATTTTTATGTATGCAATCCTTCCTGACAAATATGATCTGCTGCCTGGTAATTCGTCTGACGCTCATTCTGTTCTGCGCTCTAATTACGGCTCCTACTCCTGACACCCAGGCAGCCGCTCTGCCACCGCTGGGTACCGCACCTGTCAGCCCGACCATGGCACTGACTAATGCCCTTTCATGCCAGCCTCGTGTTAGCAAATCCAGAGGCAGGGAGGGGGGCCCGGGGAGGAGAATGGATTTGCATAAACCCAGCTCTGGGGTCAGCAGCCTTAGGAGACGAGGTGGTTGCCAAGGCAACGTGGCTGCCACCATAGCACCCCCACATAGTAGGTGCACATTAGATGTGGTGGATGCATAATTCATGCCCACGCACAGGGCGCAAAGAGGTCCTTGCCCCTGTGTCCTCTGTGACTCATGATGTGCTGGTGATTAGCTCAGTCCCTTGTTGCCACAGTGTGTGTGCATAGACCGAGCCAGCCGCATGCAGCACCCCAGTGTGCAAGGGGCCTACCTTGGAGTCAGGGAGCTGCTGGGCTCCGGGGCAGGGTGTGTTCCTGGTGTTTAGGATTGTGTCCTGTAAGCTAGAGGTCTGCTGGAGGTCCCTGGGCCTCAGCTCATGGAGCAGAGCCCCATACACTGGGCACACAGCCCAGAGCGGGGACAGGCCGGGAGGGCTCCTTGCCCCCTCACACAGCTCAGGAACAGCCCGGCTTCCAGGGATCACCCTTCCCCAAGCTCCAATTTCTTCTCATTAATATAATAAGTGCAGTAGTCCAAGTGCATGAAATCGTGCTGTCGCACAGGCCTGCGCCTCTCCCATCCCGCACGGAGCGATCCTAACAGGCTCTGACGGGTGCTGAGCCTCCTCCACAGAAAGGCAGGATCTGACGGACGGTGGACAGGCAACGGCAGGCGCGGCTCCTCGGGTCCTGGTCTCCCCAGAGTCCTTAAATCAGGCGGGCCAAGCGTGCCCAGCCCACCCAAATTCCACCTGTTACAGTCCTGCACCAAGGGTCTGGGTTTCCACTCCAGAATGAGATGCACCTGCCCTGCCCTGCAACCCCTGACAGTCCCGGTCTGACAGGAGAGGCCCCGAGTCCTGCCTCTGTTGCTAGCTGGCCTGGGAACCATCATGCACATTGCACATCCTCTTCCCAACATCCCCTCCCCGCTGCCCCCCACCCTGATTGCAGGTTCCTTGGCTGTAACAAGGCAGGCCCCTGGGTTCCCTGGGCAATGGCAGGTGGCAGGGGATGGGGGGTTGGGTGGTGCCTGTACACTCCTCCCTGCGCAGTTCCAGGGAGAGCTTGCAAGGCTGGGCTGGGGTTCCACGGCATCTGTAGGGACACCACCTTCCTAGGACTCCCACAGGCACTCAGGCTGTCGGTCTCTAGGCCACGTGTGCACCATGCGCAGAGGCAAGGACGGCTTCCAGGAAGCCCCTGGGCCAAGAGACCACCTGCAGGTTACACTGCCACAGGTGTTCAAGGCCAGCTGTGGGGAGCCCCGGCCTGGAGACACCAGGGCATGAGTGCGGGGGTGGCGGAAGTGAGCGGAGTGTAGGGCAGTCTGTGAGGGAGGTGGCCACTCCACCGGGGGTCCAACAGCCTCCTGAGTGCCCAGGACCAGGGCAGCACCCAAGGTGGCCTCTGTAGAACAATCCCCAGGAGGCATGGCCCCACTGAAACCCTGCCCCACCCACAAGGCCCCAGTGGGTGGCGCTATTTTTATATCTCTGTTCTAATTTGATGAAAACTGCCCCCACCCAGATCTATCAGCCATGGCTCATGTTCCATCAGGCACACAGCAAGGGATCTTGCGCACTCACCTGACCCAGACCTCAACGTCTGACCCTGTCACAGTGACCCCTGCACCCACATGGCCAGCACGCAGGGTTGCCCTATGCCCCTCCCTGCCCCCCAGCACCTCACCCCACATCAAGATCCAGCTCTAAGGACACACACCAGCTCTAAGGACTCCTGGACACACACCCAGCCCTCCCCGCTTCAGAACTGCTCATTTACAAACCAAAGCTTGGGCAGGTGGCCTGGGGGTGTGGTGGCCCCTGGGGAACACTGTGCAGCACCAGGAGGAAGTAAGGCCTGGCCGAGAGTGTGGAGAAGGCCCAGCAGCTCCGCCAGGCCTCGAGGAGCTCCCACCAGGGCCTGTTCCGAGCAGACAGGAAAGCTGGGGCAGACACTGGCCTGCACCAGCAGGGACAGCTCCTGCATTCCCCTGCAGGTCACCAGGACCACGGCAGGGGGGCTACAAGTGGGGCATCCCCCCTTACCTAAGGAGTGGGCTGCAGTGGTCTCGGAGCTGAAGAAGCGGCCCAGGCCGAGGTCGCCAAGCTTCACGACACCCGTGGCTGTGATGAACACATTGGCAGGCTTGATGTCTGCAGGGGAAGGGAGGGGGCTGCTGTGGGTGCACAAGACCAGGAGCACAAGGGAAGGGAGGTAGTGCCTCCATGGCTGACGGGTAGGCCCAGCCTCTGGGGCAACACAGTCCCAGGACCAAGTTCCAGGCAGGACTCATTGTAGGAAAGCTGGGCCGTGCTGCCCCATGCTGGTATTGGGGTCTAGGGACGCTGTGCCATCTGGCACCAGTGTGCCATGCCAGGACAACCCTGGACATGGGTGCGGGGGGGAGATGAAGCTGCCTGGCTTCTTTGCGGGATGGTCCCAGGGACGGGGCTGGACGGGGCGTACCTCGGTGCATCACCCGGCGTGAATGCATGTGCTCCACGGCACTGCACAGCTGCACGAAGTACTTCCACACCGTCCGCTCCGGGATGAGCCGCTTCTGCTTCTTAAAGTACTGCCGTGGGGGGACAGACACATGACAGGCCTTAGTGGGCGGATCTTGGGGAGAGAGGCTGTCAGGCTGGGCTCACACGGGTGAGCTCAGAGCAGGGGTCCTGGCTGAGTTTAGTGGCATAGCCTGGACATCCCGAGGGGGGCTTTGCAGCTGGACCTGGGTGTGGACAGAAAGGGGCCACCCAGGACACATCTGCTACTTAAGTCACAGCTGCCCCCAGCTCCTGGGAGCTGGCAAATCTCAGTCGGATAACTACAAATGGTCCTGCAAGCAGCAGGCAGGAATCGGCTTTGCTGCTGGAAATACCGGATACTCCAGGGAATCACATACAGCATGGGCCCCAGGCTGCACAGAGTGAGCTACATAGACCATGAGGTCTGGCAGGTTCCTCCCAGGAGGGCACTGGAAGTGGCCCTGTGCTGCAGAGTGGCTGGGGGGGACATGGCCACAGGGGTCCTTTCCCCTAGCTGATCCCCTTGTGAGGGTGTCTGGCACAAAGCCTGAGGGTCACAGTGCTCAAGGGGGCCTTGAGGAGGCGGGGGCAGAGGCCAGGGGAGCAAGACGCTGGGGCAGGGCGAGGCTCCCACCCTCTGGGCCTCGTACCTTAATCATCTGCGAAAGGTCCCCAGCGTCGGCCAGCTCTAGCACGATGTTCAGCTCATTGTCCTCAATGAACGAGTCCAGGTATTTGATGATGTTTGGGTGGTTCAGTTGCTGCGAGGGGGTGGACAAGAGAGCAGAGGGTACTGGGTGAGAACCGACCCAGCCCCCATGCCAGCCCACGGCTTCACCCTCCCACCGACGCCCACTGATGCCAGTTGCCAGCGTGGGCTGAATCAGGCAGGGCTGTGTCTGATGGGTGAAGCAATTTAGCCTCCTAGGGTCTCAGTTCCCTTGCCTGAAAGATGGGAACAACAGAGCAGGTGGCATGAGACCCAGATGGGCGCGGCTCCCTGACATATGTGCCGCTGGGATTCATGAGCCTGGGCATGACCGTGAACTGCTCACAGCTCTACCCTCCTGTTGGAAGCCAGGCAGGTTCTCTGGGGAACCCCCAACACATCCCCTTCCTTCCTCTCGCCATCCATGCCTTGAGGGTGGACAAGCTCCTGGCCTCCATCCCTGTGCCCAGCAGGCCTGCAGGTGGCCCTCAAAACATTCCTGTCCCCACTTCCTCCCCCTGCCCACCCCTTGTGGAGTCTCACAAGGATGTTCCTGGCAGCGGGCTGTCCCTGCTAAGCTTGGGCAGGGCAGTGCCCCTTGGCAGTCAGCCCCTGCCAGGCTGACATCTAGTCCACTAGTCAGTGACAGCTGAGGCCGTGTCAGTCCGCTTTCTGCCACTAGGAGATGGGTATGCCTATACCACATGCCAACCTGTGCTGGTCTATGGACTCCAGAATGGGGAGGGGCTGGGGCTGCCACCACAGAATCATACCATGCCCCTGGTCAGTCTCCGACACCAGGCACCCCTCGGTCAGGCCGCCAGGGTCCAGAGGCAGCTTCAGCTGTCTCCCAGCTCATGCCAGCTTCCCTCCGAGATGGACCGTGCTCTGCTGCCCCACTGCCTACTGCCTGGCTGAGACCTCTGCTCTGGATGAGCCCTGGTCCGAGGGTAGGTGCACCTGTTCCCATCTACCCCTTGCCCAGTAGGGGGCGCTGCCCAGACACTGCATGTCCTGGTTCCCTGGGGCTGTGGTCAGTAACAGGTGTGACACAGCCAGGACGGGTTGCAGGAGGCAGTGTCATGCTCAGCTGTGTCCTCTACCATGGGGACACTCCCCACTCTGTCCTTCCCAGGAGGGAGGTCTCTGCCACTCCTTCAGGGCGCAGTGTTCCTTCTCTATGTTGTGGCCCGCACCTGCTCATTCCTGTCTGCCCTTCACTGTCACATGCCAGTTTGCTCCATGTTCTTTGAGAGAGAAAGAGGCAGAGCTGCCATCTGTGAAGCTGAGCCCAAATCAGGAAGCTGAGTCAGGAATCAAACCAGTGAAGCGGATGTGAGACTCCAGTATTTTAACTGGCATTTCAATCGCCAAGCCTAACCCCTGTCCCTGAACTTGGATTCTAAATCCACTCTATGGCTGTGGTCTGCTATCCACAGCTGGACAGCTCTGTCTCAAGCTGCTTAGGTAGGTGCACCTGTGTTTGCCAGGCCTGAGCTGAGCCTGGGCCAGTCTGGACCTCCCAGGCTCACACACTACTCAGGCAGAGGAATGTAAGAGCTGCCCCACCCATCACCCCAGGGCCCAGTCTCTCCAGACAGGTCACTCATGCCCTGACATCTGTATGGATGTTCTGGGAGAGCAAAGGAGTCTACAGAGCAGGGTAGGGAGCATCAAGGAGCTGCACCGGCCTCGGGGGAGAAGCTCTGCATGCAGAACTGGGAGGCAACGCCAGTAGCCCTAGACCCATAGCTACACGTTGAGTGCCCTGCCACGCCTAGGTCAGAGCTGGGTGCCAGAACTGAGTTCACTGCCAGGAGGAGCCAGTTCCTAATTGTGAAATGGACTGGAAGAACCTAGGATGAAGGGCCCAACCCAGGGTGGCACAAGGGGTGTGAGGAAAACTTCCTAGAGGAGGTGACATTTGAGCTGGGGACACAGGCACCTTCATCTTCTTGATTTGGAAGGATCAGTGCTCTTAAGGCCTTTGTCAGACAAAGTACTATTATGACCTTCTTCCCACCCATGCTTGTCTTCATTTTTGTAATGTGTCTTTGAGAAGCATAAACAATTTATTAAGATAAGGCCCAGCCGATTCTGCTTCTTTCAGGGTACCTGCTCCCTGGGCCAAACATGGCCCGGTGCTTCTTCCCCTGGTTCTTGTCAACAAACTTTACATGTTCAGCTTTGGGGTTTAGGAGCCGCTTCAGATTCATTTCTGTGTATGGCGTGAGGCAGGGATCAAGGCTCACTTCTGTCTGAAGGTATGCTCAGCTGTCCCAGTGCCCTGGGCTGCAGGTCTTACCCTTGCCCGCTGAACTGTTCTGTGCCATTGTCAGAAATCTTGCCTAGGGTTTTGTTTTAGGATCATCTGGAGCCAAACACTGGCCACTGGCCCCCAGCACACGGCACACTCCAGGTGCAAAGAGAAATGCCAAAGCAAGGGCCCTTCCAATCTCTCAGCACAGGGTGGAATCTGATCTAGCAGGTGGAACACCAGCTGTGATGCCCATGTTCCGTAGAAGGAGTGACTTGGGTTCAAGTTCAGGTTTCTGCAAATGGACAGCCTGGGAGTAGGGACGCCAGCTCACATGCTTGGGCTCCTGACGCCTACATGGGAGAACTGAATTGGGCTCTCAGCTCCTTCAGCACCCAGGGCCACTGCACATTTTAGTGGGATGAACCAGACAACTGGAGCTGTTTTGTCTCTGTCTCTCAAATTTCATTATGCAGATAAGGCATATTCCATGGTACAAGCATATTGCTTCTGCAACAAATGAGAGACTGTTTCCTCCCCTTCCTCTGGGACTGAGCCTTGCTACTTCACTGGGAAATCTTGTCCTTCTGGGAGAAGACTCCGAGACCTACTCAAAACCCACGCAGGCCTCCAGTCAGAAGAGGGGGGCTTGGAGTTTTGGTCCACACTGAGAAGGTGGACAGCCCCCTCCCCTTCTGGGGGCAGATTTGAGATTGTGAGGTTCAGGAGTGTCCCCATGTGCCAACAAGGACCCCAGAGGTCACTAGGCCAAATCCCCAAGGTCCGGCGAGTGGACAGGATGGGTCATGTCCATGGCAAGCTGGCACTGAATCAAGTCTGAGAGGTGCCCCTGGGAGCCCAGATCACTGTGCACATGGAGCACACTCAGGCCTGCAGCCTTCTGGTGAGCAAGGGCCCCAGGGCAGCTGGGTAGAGAGCTGAGAGCCACTGTGGTGAGGTCTTCCCAGTGCTGCATCTGTGCTGGGGCTCTGCTCCCCTTGGGCTCACCTTCAGGAGGCCGATCTCTTTGACACAGTCCTGCCTCGCCTTGGCATCCATCATCTCGAAGATCTAGGGGGTTAGAGAAAGAGAAATGGGGTTGGGGGTGTAAACTTGGGGCCCAGCCCCTCTGGGAACCAGAGAGAGCAGCATCCGAATCCTAGTCCTCCATGTTGCTTGCCATGGACCCAGGTGAGAGTGATGGTGCCCGGTCCCCGTGCATCACAAGCCAGCGTTGGACTAACTACTTCCCTGGGTTCCCCGTGACTTTCCCCCCCTGGGCAGGAGTTACTGTGCCCAAGTCCCAGAGGCAGAGGCTGAAGCTCTGGGAAGACTAGCTGGAGGCACCATACTGGGAAGGGTTGGCTGGGGCAGAGCCTCAGCTGTCACCTCTGTGAATGAGGCCAACAGCCGACCTTATGGTGGGTCAGGTGCACAGTGCCCAATGTGGCATTCCTGGAGCCCCTGGCAAGTGGGCTCGACAGCCACAGAGCTGGCATCCCCACAGACACACCATGACAGGGGGTTAGGGGATCCATCTGAAATCCAGGGTGGGCAGTGGGCATTTTCTGTGAGTTCACAGATCCATGTGGGAGCTGGAATGCCCGTGCTCTCCCTGATGCCACGGTGACTGTCCGTGGTGTCGCCCTCTCTGCCCTCCCCAGGGCTGCTCAAAGCATGAGCACATCTGGAGGTGGGATGCTTGGCTGAACCCTGGCACGCGCCCCTCCCCGCCCTCCCAGCCCTCTCAGCTCACCAGCATGCAGACCGCTAGCTGTGCCTTGGCCCGGCTTTGCTGCTCACCCTTGCCCTGAACTGAGCCCAGACTGTGGCATCTCTGCAGCCCAGGGAGAAGGGGTCTGCCCTGTTCCTCTGGGGGCTGCAGAGCTGAGTCTCCTACTGTTTCTGTCATTTGAAAATGAGGCAGAAACCTCCCAGGAACAGCAACTGTTTCATGGTCCCATGCATCCCTGCCATGACCCAGTATGCAGCAGGTGCTCAATGCATGCCCACTTCCCTTTCCCTTTCAAGTATTCTGCACTTTCCCTACAGGAGTCCATCTCGTGCTCATCTCCCAGGCTCATGGAAGAAAAGACAGAGAATGGCCCAGAGCCATGAGGCTTAGCTGCGGGGGTGGTGCCTGCAGGGGACAGGGAGGGAGGAAGGGGGTCCGGGGACCAGACTCACCTGCACCTTCTTCAGGGCCACCGTCTTCCTATCCAGCAGGCAGGTGGCTTTGTACACCTCACTGAACTGGCCTCGGCCTATCTTCTTCTCAATCTGGAAGTCAGCCAGTGAGCAGCGGAAGGACAAGGTGCTGGGGTGCCTCTGAAGACGGACAGAGCAGTCATGGTGACCAACTGGGCTGGCGAGCCCTGGGACCTAGGTAAAGGAACGGCTTGGCTGGCCAGTCCTCCTGGCACTCCTTGCTGTGGCCCCACTGCAGGGGCGAAGCCGAGCTGTGCACTGCCCACCTGGCACCGCACCTGTTACCTCTATCATCTCCCAAGGCTATCTGACTCTCACCTCAGAAGGCTCGCGCCATGCTCACTCCTGAATCCTGCACGCCCAGGGAGCAGAGTGTGTGTGACAAAGGATGGACAAAGAAGTGGGAAACAGTGAGGTTGCAGGGTTCCTGGGCTTGGGGTGAAGGGAGGGGACTCAGTGGGGTCTGCGGTTCAGGCCTCGCCAGCCTGGGGCCTCAAGTCATGCCCTACTCTCAACCCTGCAGATTGTTGGCAGAAACACGAGTGCCCCCCTGCGAGGACATGGCGGGGGTGAAGCCTGCAGCCTGACTGCCTCCTTGCTGGCGACCTGGAGGAAACCGGAACTTCCCGGAGGCTCTGCAGGACCAGCGCTGCAACCTCAGGGCTGGTGCCCTCCACCCCCAGACTGGGGAGGCACCAGGTGCCGGGCCATGTCCCGGTGCACTCTTTTACCAAGGATCTCAGCAGACACAGCCATGGCCCTGGAAGGAGACCGAGAAACACTGAGTGACAGGCACCAGGAGGCCAGGCAGCTGGGTCCCAGCCCCACTCCACCTACTCGCTGGTGGGGGACCAAAGTCACCACTTGGAGGCCACTCTGAAGCCTCAGCTTCCTCATCTGTAAATGGAGACAACAGAGCTAGCTTAGTGCTCAGTGACTGTTGTTATGGCTACTGACTGACAGTTGTGGGCAGGGCAGGTGGGAGGAGCTTCGGGGCCTGCACCCTGAGTTTCTGAGCCTTGCCTGCTTCCCACTTTGTCCTCCTGCCAGGGGGCACGGAAGGATCCAGGCCTCACAACACATCATCCTTACAGCAACACAAACCTGTTAGCACTTCACGTCTGAAGTCTGCATCCCGTGGGCCAGGGATGCCCTGCAAGGAGCCTCACCACGGTGGCATTCCAGGACACTGCAGCTCCAGGGACATCACTGAGCCCACAGCAGGTAATGGCAGAGTCCCCCCACTTAGGCTCCTGCCTCTTCTTTCTGCCAAGAGCCTGGAAGCAGCAGGATGGCTGCTTCCTGTCCTGGCCACCAGAATCCCACTTGGTGCCCCAGCTTGGGGCCCTTAGAGAGGGGGTGCCATCTCTACTCCCTCTGTATCACCGCTGCGGTGGCTCTGCTGGGAGGCATGAGGTGGGGGCCTGTTCTCTTGGGACTCAGAGCCCCCAGGACCCAGTGCAGGGTTTGCAGGGAGAGCCCAGATCCCTAGACTCCCACAGCTCTAGTCACTGTGGCCCATCTGCATATGCATGCTGCAGATTTGCACTTCCTGTCACAACCCCCTGGACCTAATTAGAGTAAGGTGCGCCCTGGCAGGGGCAGCACAGGGTGCTGGGGCACTGCCCAGCAGGCCCTGGGGGTGCCTCTGCTGTCCTGGCAGGGTTGAGCTGGGCACAAGACTGGGAGCAGCCAGCACAGAGTCCTGACCCAGACAGACTGCACCCCAGGGCTCCAAACGGAAAGGAGGTGACCCTGAGACCTGGCCCAGAAGATGGGGTTTCTCCATGTTGCCATTTTCAGGTCCCCCTGCCCTCTTGGGCCAGCCCCCCTTTCCTGCCTCCCCAGCAGCTGAATGGCAGGTGCCTATGTGCAGGGGACAAGATTTGGAATAGCTGAGCAATGTGGGGCCACCCCAGAGTGTCTGTGCTGGTCCCTGGCCTCCCTGCCCCCTGCTCTGCCTGAGGCTCGTGCTGGCTCCAGGGCACAGGATGACAGTGGGACATGGGAGTCTAGGGTTCAAATCCCTAGTGGCTGCTTCTGGGCTGTGGCCTGGGGCAAACCCTTCTGGTCCTAGGTAATGGCTCTCAATGGGCTGTTGGGCATTAAGTAAAAAAGAGGGCCTGGCCTATGGGGCATGGAAGGTGTTCAAGGTCATTGCCACTATTACATGATTAGCTCCGCTGCTCCAGGAGAATGAGCCTCAGGTCAAGGCCTCCTCCCCCAGGGCAGGGCGACCCTAGGGGCCAGGCCCTCCCACTGGGGGCAGTCACCTACCTGGAGCCAATGTGGCACCTGCTGACTCCAAAGTGCCTGCGGTGAGGTAGTGAGGCTGACTTACTTGTCCCCTTCCCAGGGACTGCCTGCCAAGCGACCCTGTGAGACAGCAGCTGCCCTGGTCTTCCTTGGCGTGGTATGCTGTCTCTCGTGCTCTTATCCCAGGGCATTTCAGGAGAGGAGGGCACAGGGACGTGGCCCTTGTGGCACCTGCCCTACACCCTGCTGCCAGTCACAGGCCCGAGTTGCCCGTGTCACCTTTCACCCTAGTCCCATTCTTGCAACCAAAGTTGCCAGTTTTTCTGCAGCCTGGGGCTGGGCTGCGTGAGGCTCCCCCGCATCCAGAGAGCTCTGAGGAGCCCGGCCTCTTCTCCAAGTCACATCAAATTAGGCCACAAACACCCCCACCTGTGCTAATTTGAGTTTAAAATGCTTGAACCAAAATAAGCCTTAGCCATCATAAACCCCCCTTCTTTTTTTTTTTTTTAAAGAAAACAGGAGCATAAAATCACGTTAAAAGAATAAAAATGCATTCGCCCAATTAATTTTCTGAAATCTCATTAAAAAATTTAGCCTGACTAAGTCAGACTTCTGACCCGAATTTTAATCATCTCTACACTGGATGGCCCTCTTCTCCCTGAAATTTGCGATGCATCATTACTCTCGAGGCAACCGCTTCCACGATCTGAGAAGGCACACTTCATTGGAGTGACATTTCCTGTAAGCGGACTTCACCTTCAAAGACATCTGACACCGCGTGGGGTGGGGGCACTTCTAACGGATCTGGGATCCGTGTCCTCAGCAAGATGTTTGAAATCCACTCGGCACAAAAGGCAGGCCTGGTGTACAGTGAGCCTGCCCGGCCAGACTCCTTGGAGCTGGCCATGTCCGAGCCCGGAGCCCACTTTCCTTCTCGAAGACTCTTTGGCACAATTTGCCAATGGGGTCACAAGGACCCGGCTTTGGCTTCTGACTCGGTCCCTCATCAGCAACAGGCTGGTAGCAAGGCAGCACCCTTCCTGGCTACATGGATCGAAGGATATCTCCCGAATTAGACATGCCAGACAAAACGAGGGACATGCTAGGTGTTCCTCTGCAACTGTCACTTCCGTGGTCTCTGTGTGGATGGCTGCACTTGGCTCCATGACGGGTGGTGGAGGTGACGCAGTCTTGTGGCCTCGATGACAGACCCAGAGCATGGAAGACACATTCAGACAAAAGCCAGGAGTCTTATTTACCAAATTCAAGCGAAGCTGAGTTTAAAAACACACTGAGAAGGCTCAGCTGAGCTCCAGGTCCAAAGGGCAAACCCTCGTACCCTTCACCACCAGTGCCAGCGCCCATCATGGAGACCCAGGCCTCACCCCCTTGCCTATGGGCACCCTCTCCGAGCTGTGGGGCCACAGTCTCCAGGGAACCCATGGCCAACACATGCCGTTACTGGCTCCCCCACCTGCTGCAGGCTCAGCACAGACCAGGGACCTGTTCAAGGCAACACACACTTGTCACCCACCCAAGCACAGGTATTTAAGCCCATAGTCCACCCTCATTGGTCATATGCTTTCAGGTTGGGGCCTGCACCTTGCTGTTTCTGCTTCTGGAATATTCTTTTTCTGAAGTCCTCTCCCTAACAGCCAATCATGTACCAGGCAGCATCTGACACTCCTTTGGGATCTGACACCTCTCCACTCTGTCTTGGTCTATTCCTGTGAGCTGCCCATCCCCGCGACTCAGGGTGGGCATCAGGGAGGGCTACAGCACAAAGCAAACAAACATTTGGGGAATTCACGATAGCCAGCCAGCCCCTGGTGGATGTTAGTGGGTGCTCATATCTGGCTATGAAGCTTCATCCAATCCTGCCGTTTCTTTGGGAAGCTGTTTGTGGGGACTTTGGCCTGGCTCACATATACAAGGTGACAACTGCCCCGACACCTGCCAAGTGAACAAATTGCCAAGCTGAACCTGGCACACCCACCCTGGGCAGGGCTGGGTGGACTCTGCAGGCGGCACACATCAGCTAGGCTTTCGCCATGTGGAAAGTCATGTGTCTTTTGGTGGGTGGGCCCAGTCTGGGGTCGCATTCCCCATGAAAATGTTGGGAAGCAGATCAGTCCCATCACAAAACAGCAGCATTGTAATCTCTTTTTCTCAGTTCCACCTAGCCATCTGTCCATCATTCCATCCATCCATTCATCCATACTAACCCTGAAAAGCAAATGAGTTCACTTGCCTAAATATAAATCAATCTCACACACAATTCTGCAAGTGTAAGGGTGACGCAAGTGTGTTCTCACATGCAGACAGAAAAGCAGATGGGAGAGGGGGAAGAGAAGCAGGGAGGAGGGAAGGAGAAGGGGAGAGAAGAGAGAGGGAGGGAGATCTTCCATCCATTGGTTCACTCCCCACATGGCCACAATGGTTGGTGCTGGACCAGAGGCTGAAGTCAGGAGCCCAGAACTCCATCCTGGTTTCTTGTGGGATGGCAGGAGCCCAAGCACTTGGGCCATCCTCTGCTACTTTTCCATTTGCTTTAGAAGGGAGCTGGATAGGAAGTGGAGCAGCGGGGACTCGAACTAGTGCTCACTCACATGGGATCCTGGTGTCACAGGTGGAGTTTAACTGCCTAAACCACAGCGCAAGCCCCCAAAACTAGAATGATTTTTAGCAACAGGTGGATAAGACCCACGGTGCCTGGCACCGGATGCTGCTAGTGGACTGTGACACTTTGTCTTGGCAGCTGTCTTCTGAGCAAGCTACTGTGATTATTCCCAGTAAACAGGTGGGGAAATTGAGGGACACCATCAGGCTGGTGAGGGGAGGAGCTGGGAAGCCAGTGCATGCAGCCTGCTCCTGTCTCCCTCCAGGGAAAGGGAGAGGACAAGAGTGGTGCCCGGGCCACTTGGAAGACACTGCTGCCGTCACCCTGGGCTGTGTCTGTGTCCGGAGTCACCAGAGGCCTCCCCAGCCAGCGTCTGCATGCCTGTGCTGCAGGCCGCCAGATGGGAGGAAGCAACCGTGGGGATACCTCAGTTCTGCAATCCAGCCTGATGCTGGAGCGACTGAGGGTACATCCTCCCCTGGCAGCCGCTGCCTGGCACAGCCCAGCGCTCAGTAATGGGATCTAATCACACTCCGACACGGGGCACAAGACGACGTGGCTGCAGCCGCCACAGCCACCGCCACAGCCACAGCCACCGCCACTGCCACCACGGCAGCCCACCATCCCCTTACCTGGTGCACATGAAATAATTATGGCGAGGGTTGGGGGTCCTCTTCTCTGCCAAGTAAGGCTGTAACTAACCCTAATTGCTCCAAATGCAACTGACTCATTCTGGGAGATTAATCAGGAGGGACTTCAACTGTTAGGGAATGATTTAATATGACAAATTGCTACATTATTCCACTAGGCCCTGCTGTCCCCAGACAGGAATGCCCTGTCCTTGTGGATGGTGGACTGCTGTGGCCTGGGGCCTTGGGCTTCCCGGGGTCTGCATCCTAGGACTCAGCCTAGGTAAGGGGCCCTTGCATCCCAGACCTGGACAATAAGGTACAAACAGTACCCTGGAGCTTGCCTGCATGTGTACACACACACACACTCATGCTCTCTCTTTCTCTCTCTGTCCACCTGTGTGCCTCAGGCTGATACAGCCCTGCACCAGGGAAAGATATCAGATATCCTTGCCTCCCTGGCCAGGTATCTTGCACAGTATACAGCCTGTGCAACTGTACATGGCTACCAGGACCTGGATGCTGTGACAGTCTTCCAGGGTGCCTAGTGCGGATGTCTGAGTCTTGTCTTGGAACAAAAAGTCAAGTGTGGATGAGAAGTTTGCATTGCTGCAGGCTGATCACACCATGAGGAGGCCTCTCAGGGTGCAAGGTTTGTGCTGGGAGCCCTGCTGGCTCCTGTTGAGCTTCTGTCCTCTTCCCCTGCAAGGCTCACTGGTAGCAGACCCGGCTCAGGGCCACACACACACCCTGCCATACTTTGTGGGCAGTCCCAGTGAAGGCAGACCCAGGACCCACATGCACAGGAAGGGGCCCAGCCAGTATCCAGGGCTGCAGGCAGTCTAGGGCATGGCAGGAGCCAGGAAGGAGGAGCAGGCGGGGGGCAGCCCAGGCCTCATGGTCACGTGTGCAGAGGCCTACCACTGGCAGGGCAGCTCCAACATTCGAGGGCACAAGGCAAGCGGGAGAGGGTGGCCTGGCTCCCAGGGGCATGATGATGGCAAGGGGGAGGGGGAGACAGGCATGAGGACTCCAGGCCTCCCTGCGGCTTTGTGGGTGCTAAAGAGGTCCATGGGCAGGAAGAATCTCCTGCCAATCCCCTCCAAGACCCTCGTTGTCCTCGGGATCCCCAGAGCCCCCTCCCTAGCATCCCTGACCCCGCTGAGATGAGGCTGCCCCACTCACGGGGTCTTCACTCAGGACTAGGGTTTGGCACAGCCTGCGCCTTTCTCAGTGCTGCTCAATCCAAGTTAGGGCTAGCTATGTCAAGTAGTGAATTCCCTGTTGGTGGAGGCATTCAAGGTAATTCTGTCTGAGGGGTGCTGGCAGGGAACCTTGAGCATGCCTGTCGGCTCTTCAATGCACCGTAAAGGAGAGGGAGGGGGGCTTACCTGTGGGTCGGGAGGGTGTGCAGGCCCTGGGGTGTGACAGAGGCTGTTCGGGCTCCCTCCATGGGGCAGGTGGCTGGGCTGGCCTGCCATGCCAGCCTCCCCGGGCACGGGCTGCAAGAGAAAAAAAACAGGGGCCTGGTCATTTCTTCTTCAAGATGGCCCTGGGCAGGGTGAGGTGCCTGCCAAGGTCCCATGAGGGCCCAGCCAGGATACACGGAATGCAATAGCTTGCTGTTACTCGCTCAGCTCAGGTGTGGCAGGGCTAGCCCTTAATGCACCCTTCCCTGGCTTTTGCCATCCTTACTGGGGTGCCAGGACTGTCCCCCACAGGAGAGAGCTGACACCAGGGCCCCCACAAGGAAAAGAATGAGGATTCCCAGGGCGGCTAAGAGAGCAGTGGATCCAGGCCCCACCTGCCTGCTCCCAAGCCCCACTCTTGCCACTTGCTCCTTGCCGTTGGAGATAAATCTGTTCCCTTTGCCCATCACTGCCTCTGTATACACCCTTCAATCTAGCCATTGGCAGAGACCGAGTCAGATGGTGGCAGCAGGTGCAGGAAAGAGCCGGCTGTCCTGTTCTGGCTGAGCCCCACTGTGCCAGACACTCCCATGCTGGGAAGACCACGGTCACGGGTGACATTCCTATAACCATAGCAGCTGTCTCCGACGAAGCACCCCACTGCACGGGCAGGAAGCTGGAGTCGGGGGTCAGAGCGGGACGCAGCCTCAAGTGCTCTGATGTCGGACATGGGCGCCCTGACTGCTGTGAAAAGACTTTGTGCCAAAGACCATCCGCCAGCCTGGCGTGTCCCTAAGTGGGCCCTTGGGCCCCCAGAAGGCATCATGAGGACTGGTCTGCAGGTGTCTGTGTGCTCCCCCCACCTGCTGTGTCAGGGTGAAGCTCCTCTCTGGCTTCACACACTGCAGCAGAGTGAGGCTGTGAGGGAGCAGGCGGGAAAGGCAGTGAAGGCACTCAGCTCAGGGTCACAGGAGCACCCACCCCCCAGCCCCACGCCTGCTGGGAAGGCAGGAAAACTGCAGCAATGCAGCCAACCCTGACCGGCAGACACGGCCACGGGCTGTGCCTCCTCCTCATGCAGACACTTGCAAATGTGCACAGAGAATGCAGCCCAGAGAGGTTTGTCTGCACCTGAAATCCATGCATAACAGATCTTCGACACATTCATGGACAATGCATACTCTGAAAAAAAACGATGCGTGGATTTACGTTTTTTTTTTCTTTTATCAGAAAGGCAGATTTACAGAGAGAAGGAGAGACAGAAACCCTTCCATCTGCTGGCTCATTCCCCAGATGGCTGCAATGGCTGGAGCTGAGCCACGAGCCAGGAGCTTCTTCTGGGTCTCCCGCACAGGTGCAGGGGCCCAAGGACTTGGGACATCCTCTGCTGCTTTGCCAGACCGTAAGCAGGGAGCTGGATGGGATGTGGGGAAGTCAAGACACGAACCAGCACTCCTATGCGATGCCAGCACTTGCAGGTAGAGGATTAAACAACTGAATCATCACACTGTCCATAAAGATTTATTTATTTGAGAGGCAAGCAGCAGAGAGAGGGAGACAAACAAGTATTTTCTATCCTCTGGTCCACTCCCCAGATGGCTACAAAACTCAGGGCTAGGCAAGGTCAAAGCCAGGAGCCAGGAATTCCATCCTGGTCTCCCATATGTGTAGCAGGGACCCATGGACTTGGGTCGTCCACATCTGCCTTCCAGGCTCGTTAGCAGGGAGCTGGATGGGAAGCGGAACAGCCAGAACACGACCTAGTGCTGGGTATGCAACGTTGGCCATGGATTTGTTTATTTTCTTTCTTTCTTGTTAAATGACTTTCTTGCAATGACTGGAGCTGAACCTACCTGAAGCCAGCAGCCCAGAGCTTCTTCCAGGTCTCCCATGTGGGTGCAGGTTCTGGGCCACCCTTGACTGCCTTCCCAGGCCACAAACAGGGAGCTGGATGGGAAGTGGGGCTGCCAGGATTAGAACCAGCACCCATATGGGATCCCAGTGTGTGCAAGGTGAGGACTTTAACTGCTAGGCTACCGCGCCAGGCCCTGGCCCTGGATTTCAACTTCAATGGCACTTGCTATGAGCTTTTTCCATGTCCTGGTGTGAAGGCAAACAGGTGGTTCTCTGCTTCCCTGTGCACAGAGCATTGTTTTGGGTGGGATTTTGTGGGGGAACCTGACACCCTGGGCTCTTCCCTGGAGGTATGGGCTCTTCCCACGCCTGCACTGCCAGGTCTTACCACCAAGCCCCGGAAGTGCAGACAGGCAGCCCAGGGCATCTTGCCACCATCTGGGCTGTGTTCTGCACTGCCAGCGCCTAGCCCAGGGGGCGGGGGGGGGTGCCGCAGAGGACCCAGAACAAGAGAAGCCCCAGGATAGACAAACTTGGAGCATCTTCCCCAGGCATCCTGTTAGGTGGGAGGGAGAGCCTGAAGAGGGAACAGGATATAAAATGCGCATGAATTTGAAGATGAAACCAGGAACTCCAGCAGGATCTGCAGCTGCTCCCGGCTACACCCCTAGACCCCTCGGGGTGACATGTCCAAGGCCCTCTGCCCTTGGGGAGTCCAGCCCAAGGGGCTCCCCTGTCCACCTGCCCCACCTCACATCCCAGCAGCCTGCCTCTCAAGGCGGTCCCCATTGCTCACCAGCTGGACTCTGCTCAACCACCACCCCGAAACCCCTACAGGAGTGTCGGTGAATGTCACTGCTGGGGCCTCTGCTAGCTGTGCGGAGGCTGCAGTGTGCACACGTGCAGAATTCATGTGGGGCCCCAGGAACCCCATAAGGTGGGGTCCAGGAATATCAGACACCACAGTGGTGTCAAAGGGAACAGGAGTTATCCTCGAGGGGCCCCAAATTGCTACCATATCTTATTTTAACAATGCCACTATTACTATTAAGAGATTTGCCCAGGTCATGAAGATGGGAGGTAGCACGCAGCCGAGTCTCCCACCTAGGGTGCTGCCTTCATCCTGGGTTCTGAGGTGGCTGTCACCTGCCCCTCTGGCTGGTTCTTGGAGCGCAAGCTCTCACCATGTAATCATGAGGCCTGTGTCCCTGCACAGCTGTTTCCCTAGAGACCCCCAGGAGTAGGGCATCCCCAGACCTCACTCATGGAACTCCATCCAGCTCCTGTCCACAATATCTTTCTTGCCAGATGCCTGAGGCTTTGTAACTTTACTGACTGTTTAGTTCAGATGCTCCCAGGGAGGAGGTGGACCAGGGGACCCTGTCAGGCCCTGAACACCAAGGGAGATTTTCTGTGTACTTTCAATGGGCTGTAAACCCATTTTACAGATGGGCCAACTGCGGCTCAGACAGCAAGGCTACGCATCATTTGGCTCACAAGCTGCAGTGGGGGACTCAAATCCAGATCTCTGTGACTTCAAAGGGTCTCCCCCGGTGGGATTTTAGGGAGTCTGCACTTTGTCTTTCTCCAGATGCTTCCTCTGGATGCTCTTGCCATGAATTACTTCTTCAGGCGGAAAGAGCACGAGGCACAGGGGGCTGAAATGCGGGGAGCAGTGCAGGAGCCCCGGGTACCCGGGGATGACACAGGAGCCGTCTGACCCCAGAATCCTGCAGTTGGTGCCAAGCCACAGAACAATGAGGCTATGGCTGCCAGGCCCAAGTCAGGGGCTAGAAATCTGTGGAATGTGTGACCTGGGGCTGCAGGCCGCAGCCAGCACTGTCTCAAAGAGGCCCTTTCTACCCCAGACCTCGCAATGAGGGCATGGTGCGTTTTCCCAGCCACGCGGTGTGGGTCCCAGGGACCTGCTCAGAGGGGAAGGGGCAGGGAGGACAGCTCAGCAGCTGGCCCAGTCTTGGCTATTTTGCCTGAGCACTCGGTCCCAGAACCACGATTGTGGAAAACAAGGCCAATGGTGACATGTGACTGCGAAGGCCCCCAGCGAAGATGAATCCCACGGGACATGGCTCTGGCGGCTGGGTGTGCTCACTGCCCTGTGACAGGCACTGCCACTCCCGGCTGCTGGGCTCAGTGCAGACATGCCTGCAGAGACCCTGGCTGCCACACCGTGCCTCCCCATTTTCTAGACTCTTCCCCCATGGAGACTTTCCTTGGCCTCCTGCCAAATGGCGCATGGCACAGAGGCTGGGACTTGCCCTGTGAAAGCAGAGCCAAGACATCAGGAACAGGTTGGTGTGGGAGCCCACCTGGGCCTCATGGGTGCAAGCATGTGCAGGCACAGCATACCCTTGCCTGCCATGTGCGTGCTGCCGTGTGCCCAAGAACATGTGCCCTGCAGGAATCCAGCCTACGTCCCTGTGACCTCGAGCCCAGGGACATCCATGGCAGCAGGGGTGGGGTGGAAGGCTGACAGGTGCTGCCAAAGCCTGCAGAGGCTCTTGGAGGTCAGCCGTGGCTGGGCATCCCCCTTGCTGTAACTCAGGAAGTCGCCAGCAGTTCACCCCCATAAGCTTGCAGCTTCCTTTCCTCCCCAGCAAACACACCCACGCTGGTGCCAGCACCGAGACCAACTACCACGCGTCCAGTTGGCCTGGGAAGCCCCTGCTGAGGGCCTTCAGCCAGCCTGCAGTGGTTCTGTAGGCAGGCACTATACAGTGAACGCCAGAGGCCACGGGCAGGTTCCAGGCTATGCCAGTCTCAACCCATCCAAGGTTGTCGAGAATGCCAACAGGTGTCAGCACCCCTACTTTCCAAGGGAGGACTCTGAGGCTTTGAGAGAACCAGGAATTTCCTGGGTTTAAGTCCCCATGGAGATGAGAGCTGCCAGTCCCATGGCTGTTCAGGCCAGCAAAACTGGACAACCAGGGAGAGAAACTCAGCTGACTTAAGGAACTCCACATGAGCCCGGGAACACATGGACTGAGGGAGGAGCATAATACCATGAGCCAAGCAGGTGCATGCCAGACATGCGCTGGGGCTGTGCACAGCTTCTCCATCATCTCACAGAGGCCCTGGGTGGAGGGATGCTGTCACCCATGTCAGACAGTGGAGAAAATGGAGAGTTCAGAATGGTTCAGCACTGGGTCTGAGCTCACACATCAGGTGACTGGCTGAACTGTCGCCTAACGCCAAGTTTGCCCTGGCGGACACTGCCAG